GGGCCGCGGCGCTTATCCACTATGCCACCGAGCTACTTTAATACTATAATATATATATATATATATATATATATATATATATATATGTATATATATGTATATATATATATATATATATATATATAAATATATTTATATATTAATTGCTGTTCGTTTGTCTCTCTTAAACGGTTGGGCCTATTGGGTAAATGTTTATCGTAGTCCAAGAATGGCTTAAACGTTGTAAACATTGTAATAAAATATTTATATATTTAGTAGACCCGGTGTACTCACCGTTTAAACCTTCCCTGGACTACGAAAAAAATGTCAAATCCAAAATCAGCTAAATCGGCTCAGCCATTATCAAATTTTAGCGTGACAAACGAACAGCAATTGATATTTATGTATATCACGTGATAATTTCGTCGTAATTAAATTACGTGACTCCGTTACGTTTTGGTGTTACATCTGCAGATGTGGCCAGGATCAACGTCATAACATGCCTTAGGGAAGTATTGTCCTCCATGCTCAAGCTATTAATTTTTTGATCACCCATCATAAACCGGCCTTAACAAAAATTGCTTAACTATCTCAATCGTAAAACTAACGCGCTATCCACAAAGCCATCGCGCCCGATTAACTACAATTTTACAATTATGTATTTTTTTTATTCTTCAAGCTTTCATTGAATAGGTCGCAGTGAGCCGCTCAGTAATTACCAACACGACATCTGAAAATTACAATGTTGCATGATCGATTACTAAAAGCATTAGATAATCAAAACATGTTGTTATAAACACAGAGTTCTGAGAATATAGACTACTAATTGGAACGTACACTGCTAGTTTCAGTAGGCTGATATCGTATCTATAGCGTGGGAGGAATTAGCTGAATATCAAATTACGTGTGCATCGTCGTGGAAACGCTGATTTTGAAAAGCATTACGAAGTTTGAAATGGCAAAACGGGCTCATTAGTTTAGTTTGACTGACAAGGGATGGCGCTTTGTGTGCTTTTTTTTTAAGGAGAGGAAATAAATATTTATTCTATTCTGTCTTTAGTATTCGTTATTCAACAACAAACCTACACAATCTATGAAAAATTCAACTGTCTAGCTAGCTATCTCGGTTTATGAGATACAGACGGACAGCGGAGTCTCAGTATTAGGGTCCCACTTTTACCCTTTCGGTATGGAACCCTAAAAACGTAATCTTTACAGGATCACTCGTCTGTGTGTATGTCTTATTATCTCGTCCTAGAAATATTTTAGGAGGTAGGCGAAAATTGAGGGATCGGTCATCGACGACGAACATCAATCGAGCGCCATCTGTTGAGCTAAAGCGGGCTCTACATCAAAAATATCCAAACTTTTCTTCAATTGATTTTGTACAAAGAAATAATGTACGATTGAAAAAAATATATATTAAAAATGAGAAAAATTCTTTATATTTGTAAGGGTTTAGTCCCAGTCAATGCATTTCTCTATAAAAAATATAAAGACTAAAAAAACATTTTTTTATTTATTCTCGGTTATTTTCTTATTTTTAATCTAAAGGTATAAAACCTTTATATATCTTTTTTTTTAATAGGAAAAATTATTAAATTTGTTTCAATTTTGCAATATTCGTAATAGTTTGCGAGTTATTTATAAAAAAAAACATATATCGATGCCACAATGAGTTAGACAGTTAAAGACAGTTTTTTTTCTCTACATCCAGCTTTAAATAAATACATAACGATGTTGTATTTTCATATTGTTACAAACCAATTCTCCACAACTTTGAACATAACTTTGCCATTGTACTTTTACAAACAAGACAAAGGAGGCTCTTTTATTTTCTTTTGTTGCCCTTCTTTCTTTATAAACGATAATGTTCATTTCCATATAACATTTTAAGCGTATTTTCCGAGGATATGCTGAAATACAACATGTTTAACCGAATCCTGCAACAGATAAAATTAGATTTAAATAAAAATAAGCGTCATTGGTGTTTAGTTGTGTATTAGTTGTGTTGTTATTATTATTTACAGGATTATCTTCCTATTATTATGGATCCCTTGCGGGGTAGGCAGAGAGAATTTTTTTACTTTTTTGATATTTATAATGTTTCATGAAGTAGCTATTAGTTTTTGTGTCTTCTATTCCTCCAAGTTTCGCGTTGTACCAATATCAGCTCTATCATTATTTAATCTTGCATTTTATTCATCCGAATCAACAGAGTATGTCTGGTACTTTATACTGACAGCTTGTAATAATTTTGTATCTTGTAAATTTAAATCTAACCCTCTAAAACTGCGCTTTCAATCGATATAATAACTCCTTATATTAAACTAATTACGTGTATATTGTATTACGCACCTAATTATAGAAATGTAATTATGTACGAATATTTAGGACAATGAAATAACGTTAAAACAAATTCAGATTAGAGAGTGGATATATAATATAAATGGACAAAATATGGACAAATAATATAAATGGATATATATATATATAAGATTCCTTAATATATAATTATAATAAAATAAACGGGTATTTGAAATCTAATGTGCTTTTAAAAATAAAGTTTTACAGGATAAAAAATGGTTAATGTTCTTTTACAAAAACAAGACTTCTCAAAACATTATTGAATTGTATACTTTAACTGTATTATGTCGTGTTTCACCTGATCTTCCATAAAACAAACATCAAGAAAATTTAAGTTCCTCACTTCAAAGTAATACCTATGAACCAACAACAGGCGGTTTATCGAAGTTAAAGGTAATTTTAAAACGGCGAACAGTTTTCCTTTAATGAGTTTCCACGGTGGGACGTTTCGGGTTTATAAGCCTATTTGTACGGATCAAAGATATCTGAAGAACTTAAATTTTCCTACGAAATTGGTAGCCGAGACTATTTGCTTTTCACAAATTGGGATGAAATAACAAAATCATTTGCTTAACGAGACTCGTATTACACGAGAAAATATCTACATTATACAAATTGAATATCTCAATATTCCATTGTCTTTTAACTTTTTCATATATATCAGTGCCAATATTTGGAGAACATTAGATGCTTTCACCTTATATTAAAGCTGTTACTAATGTTTTTCTGCGACTTTGCTTGTCCATATGATGTAGCTTACTTTAAAATCGACCCAGTAGCGGCGTCTATTCAATGCAAATAAATCTTTCCTCAATATAATATGAGTATATAGATATATAGTTATAGAAATTACTATATCAAATATTTGTATCTATAAAGGTGAAGGCAGTTGATCGTAATAATTATAATAAAAAGTCATAAAACATAACTGGTAATACATTTATAACAGGCGGCACCTGTTTTAATTTAAAATATCTAGATCTGTATACCCTTAAATGTCACCGATGAAATTTATATTATATGAGGCACTCGATTCTGATTTATAATTCAAATACGTTTTATAATACTATTGTCATGGGAACTTGGGGATACAAATTTATCTATGTAAGCAATAGAGCTTGATGGAGTGGTTGAACAATGATCTTTACAACTTAACCATTAATAACTACATTAAAAAAGCTAGTCGTTAACTAATAATACCGTTTCAAATATGTAGTTACAATGTCACTTCATCCTAATGCGAACTAAACGACTTTGTGACTACCTCTCCCCCCCTATCCCAGCGAACTAATACTGTAGTTAATGGAGTTATGATCGGTCGTGGCTTTATCGGAAAACATTTCTTATACATATTACTTACCGTCGGCAAATCTGGAAAAATCATTTTACATGTTATTTCATTACGTAGTTATTTCGTTAAGAATGACGGGTACTTGACGTAGGTAAAATTTTTGTTTTAAATTATGTGTCTGAAACGATAAATGATGAAGGGTTGATTTATGAGTTCTGTATACGATTTTACACTCTGCGCCTCAGATTCTCACGGTTAATTTATACCGAAACATCGAATTGATATTTGGTATACATATACAAAGTCTTTATCCATCTATAAAAAAGGCTTGAGCCGTTGGACGAAAGAGGGGTGATGATGATAATGATACTAAGTTAGTGAGACAAAGACGGACATTTAATGTAAATAGGCGAAACATAACCACCCTATCCCTTAGCTCTTAACTTGCTTCTTAAAGTGCCTCTCCGACTAGCAAGCTGTTGTGTGTTTAATAAAGTTAAACACTTATCGGTGGACGGTAAAGCGTCCACTCCTTTGATGTTACGAACTCAAGAGTTATGTCTTTTTCTACGACTTTTAGGTGGGTAGGTGCTCTTTGTTTGATATTTTGCAAAAACTCTCAAGACCATTAGGTTCTAAATTCTCTAAAACCACTGGTTCTTAGTTTCTCCTAAACTTCTGGGTCTAAACTTTTGAAGAAACTAACATAGGTTATAAGGACTATCAAACGATACCTTAGGCGCGTGACTTAAATTAGCTCTTGGCTGAATTTTTCTATCAACTATCTAAACCAACAATTTTACACATTCATTTACTGAGGCATGATCAATGAATGCCGTAAGTATCGCACGGAAGCACGAAGACAAATAATCACTGACATTGTTTCCACCGAGTTCTATTATTATTTGAACCGTAAATCTAGAGATTCCTTATCCATAGCAGTGAAAATGACAAGAAGAAATACAAAATGGTTACTACATCCTACATTGGCCTAATACACCGGTTTCAAAGTAGATAAAACTAGTAAATTATAATATGAGACAGCATCGTGTACTGTCAGATTCCAAACAAGCCCTTGTGTTTTGGAAATCTAAACCGACCCGAGACAATATCTACCATAAAGCACTATTTGACGAGCTGATCTGTGCTTTGGATGGTACGTAGAGCTGAAGGTCCTTATTTCATCTGCAGTCAGTCGTTAGCACTCACATTTCCACACGGATTCATGCCATGAGTTGGAGCCCCGCATGAGCGTAATTCATAAGTTAATCTGTGCATAAAAAAAGCTCCGGCAGTTGTTCCATTAATAAGCTGATGATAATGTATGTTACTGAAGTTTCTAACCTATTTTTTATCTTTACAGAAACAAGCGATGCTCGTTCGTCAGCTCGAAGAAGAACTAAGACTGCGTATGAGACAACCAGCGCCGGAGCTTCAACAACAGCTAGAAGCTTTGTTTGCCGAGAACGAACATCTGCAGCGAGAGATAGCGATATTAAGGGATACAATCAAGGTAGCAATTTGCAAGTGGTAAAGGATTATTTTAAAACGTCTTTGTATGTTAGTTTTGCAATTGTAATTCCAATTCCCTTAGAAAACCTAAAGTCTACTCCAATAATAATCTTTGGTCTGCTCCAAGTCAAATGAACTTCACCTATAATATTTTATCTAAAGAGATCATCCATCAATAAGAACATTTTTATTTATAAAAATATTTATTCCTACACCTTAGCAATGGAGACGTTTATATCCTATTTGTTTGATTTATAATATAGTATTAACAACACTTTTTAAGTAATCTTTTAATTATTAAAAAATACGTTCACCAATAAATAATTGAAAGCATCTATTAGTGATATTTAATTAAAAAAAAAACGATTAATTTTGGTAATCAAAGATATTAAAGTGTACCTATATAAAACTTTCGAAAAATACAAATTCATAAATAGAAATAAATAGGTACCTGGCTTAGTTTTAAAGGAAAACGAATCAAAGTATACCTTTTTATACAGGAACTAGAGTTAAGGATCGAGACACAAAAGCAAACACTACAAGCGAGAGATGAGAGCATTAAAAAATTATTGGAAATGCTACAAAACAAAGGAATGGGTACGTTAAATTTGTGAATATGCTAATAATATGTTTGTTTTCAATTGTATGCTAATAATATGTATGCTGAAAATTATAATAGAAACAAGTTGGTTGATAATAAATTAATAATTCAAACTTGTATTAAACTTTACGTTTAACAAACTTTTAAATTAGTCTTATTTAAAAGGACACCAAACAAGGTAATACGTAAACTAAAACATTACGTATTACCATGTTTTTCTTCGATGTTAATAACTAATTGTAAAAATAATTCTATGGAGTGTCTATAGCGCAAAGAAGTTACACACATAGCATAATAAGTTCAAGAGACTCGGGAAATGGATCGAGAAAGAAAATTTTTATCAGCGTACCCGAGTAAAGTGAAGGAGATAGAATTTTCCAAAATAGTTATGTTTATGCTCAGTTTTGATTATCAAGAATGTAGATTTGGATGTTTTCGAGCAGTACAGTTGTAGATACAGCTTGGTATTTGATTTGTAAAATATTATATTCATAGCATTGAACTTACAGGTAAAGAGGAAGAAAGACAAATGTTTCAACAAATGCAGGCCATGGCGCAGAAACAGGTAATTACTGTGTTTTCTACTGTGTATTGCATGCTAGTTAAGTAATTATAAGACATAGATGAAGTTTCCAGTAATAATTGCCTAGTTACTGGAAGCTTTATGACAAACTTTTCTTTCATTTGTTGTAGCTGTGTATGATGTATGTTATGCATGCCACTGCTTCCTTATATTTGTGCAAAATAGTGTGACCACATGGGCGTTTTATTTTGTGATACCTTTATCATCGTCACTGTTTCTGTTAGAGTTGCTCTTGATAGTTTCATTTCATTCATTGACTTAAGCGGAATGTGACTGTCGCGAAGCCTTATGTGTTATAAGACCACTCGTCTTCACAATAAACTTTTGTCCGTTCTTGCTTCTCACTTCCACGGTCTTTCAAAGCCTATGACACTCAAGCTTTTCCCCCCTGAGCACAACTTTCCTTTTTCTCTGACTACCATCCCTTTCACAAGTTGACGAAATAATTTAAATCAAAAATAAAAATTCTAGCCAAATCAATTCGGCCAAATCACTCGACGATGAAATTTTATAAAATGACACGAACACGACTGAGATCACGACATTGCATGTTTAGATGCTCATTACGTCCCCGTCACAATGAAAATTAGACCGTCTCGAAAATTTTATTATTGGGCATTCAGTAAAGCAATCATTAAATTAGATGCAAAATTTCCTTTTACACTGCCTTCATCTGGGGCTGCATCGTATCATAAACTCGTAAACCGACGAATTTCCGATCATTAAGTCCGTGACAATCGCGAACTAGGGGTCCCAACAATTTACAGAGTACCTCAGGGCACTATATAGACGTAACAGTGATGCATGGTGACCGACCATCCCGAATCCCACATCAGTGCGTGGTGATTAATATTGCTCATAAGCAAGAAGATTAAACTCAGGGCCTGTTCCGGAACGTTGTCAAAATTTTACGTAGGTAGGAACCTGAAGTGAGAAGAGCCCGGTCGGGCTCCACTGCGAAGGTTGCTATCCTGAGAGATGTGCAGTCACCGTGTAGCACGCCGTATGTCGCCCTCGGGTGGTGTAAATTGCCGGGACGCCGGCGCGCAGCCCCAGCGAGGCGTCGAGACGCGTCGCCTGTTGTAGGTAGGTTGTATGTAGGCCGCCGTCGGGCGCGGGCGGCGGCGGCGGCTGACCGTGTCGCGTGACTGGCAGGAGCTCAAGGCGACGGCGGACACGCTGCGGGCTCTGCAGATCCAGCTGGAGCGGGCGCTCGCGGCCGCCGGACTGCCGGGGGGCAGCGCGGGCGCGACCCTCACCGCCGTCCTCGAGACCAAGGAAGCCCGCATCGCCACGCTCGAGCGGCAGGTCGCGTTGCTCGAAGGCGAGCTGGCCGCGCTCGTGTCGCCGCCGCCGCCCTCGCTCGCGCCCTCGCACGCCTCGCTATACGATAAGGCCGACCCTCCCTTCAAGAGACAAGTAAGTTTTCTGCTGAACGACGTCCGCGTGATGAAGGACGGACGCACGAGCGCGCCGCCCGCGCGCCCTCCGCGCCAACCGGTGCCGCGCCGCCCATCGCCCTATTATAGTGCCACCACTCTGTGACTCCGTCGCACCAGACGAGTTGCTGTGTCAATTTCTCGCTTTAAGTCCGAAATTAGCCGAAGTCGTCGCCGACTGTGTTGACTCGTAATATTTTTGTGTGAACTTGTTCGTTGTTAAAGCTATTTTTATTAATATAAGAGGAATTATATTCTTGAAAGATGTCGATTGAGATATTTTTGTTAAGTAGGGCTCTAGGCGATGTGAGTATATTTCTAGATGTAATTGTACGGTTAAACGTAACATGTGAGATTGACTAAGCTGACACCAAAATGATGATTATCGATAGACTGTTTCAAATTTAAGACTGTCGAGATCGTATATGCATCGAATCAAATCTTCTATTTTATAACTAATTAAATTCATTTTTAATCTGTTATGGTTTGATCATGTTGTGCTTTCGGTGTGATCGCAATCATACATGTATCGATCAGCTTTGATCCCGCGTCACCCGTCATTAATAGTTCACCACGTCCCGATCTCTTCATGTAGCCATCATCAGTTCTGTCACAGTATCGGTAGACAAATGTATCACAACATAGGCGCCCGTGCATATTAAAAATGTTTACTGTCGAACTTTTGATACTTAGCTAATTCTAAGTCTGGAAAATTTTCTACGAGGTCATCAGACTTTTTCATAATTAGTATTTAGCATAGAAAGTTTTCCAGCGACGGCTGTTCATTTTAATGACTTATCCACGATACGGTACTATGTTAATTATATTATGATGATGGGGAAGATGTTTGAAACTTGCATGCGATTTAAATAATTCTCGGGAGAATACTGAAATGTCTTCCATTGCACTGTTTCAAGTGGTTCAATTGGTGCTGGAAACATTTCATTTGTATTAATAAAAAAACAGTGTAACAGCTTGCGTCGCTTCTCATACATCGATAACATCACTAACTTATATATCTTTATTGACCATACAACCAGTATTATTAAGTAGATTAAAAGTTTTAACATCAATATCATTTCCGCCATCACGTTTGCCTTAGTAGATAGTTTTTTTATAACGTATTTTTTATCTGGTTGCTTTAACGTTTGTTTGACTAATGGAATGTTTGGATTTGTCAAATTTTATACCGACTGTCGGATGGATGGTGGAATGATGAGCAGTTGGACGAGTTCCGTTTGGAGATCCAGAGGCGGGATCAGGAGATATTGGCGATGGCGGCAAAGATGAAGGCTTTGGAGGAGCAGCATCAGGATTATCAACGCCACATCGCTGTATTGAAAGAATCCCTGTGCGCAAAAGAGGAACACTACAGCATGCTGCAGACTGATGTAATAATTCATTATTGTATATAAAATATATACTAGCATCGTCTTACAGGTATCCTCATCCCGAACCACCACGCCCACATAAATTTCCGGCGTTTCATTTGACTTTCAATCGGACTTTTCTTATTTTTGCTCAATTTCTCTGATGATTAGTTTAGTTCAGCTTCTCTGATTATTAGATAGTTCCAGGGACCAATAATTAATATTAGAATAATATGGATTTTTATAAACATTTTAGTAGCAATTTTAGTCAATAAATTTTACGTAATCTGTTATTTGACTCAAAGTACATACGTAGTCTTAATTGAAAGCAATAAACTTGTATACTAAGCTTTAACTATTCGCAGGTGGAAGAACTCAAAGCACGCCTTGACGAAAAAAGCAGATTAGTGGAGAAGAAGACGGCAGCAGCTTTAGCGGCTGCCCACGAGCTAGCTGAACTGAGAGACCATTCTGAGATCAAGGATAGGAAGATCAATGTACTGCAGAGAAAGGTAAAGAATAATGGACTGTGGGTATATCTTTATAGATTCGGTATTGGTTAAGTTAGATTGCGCAAAATGCTAGATGATTAAGGACGCAGATATGATACACCATACTATAATAACTACGTATCATAAAGAATGACATCAAAGATGCCATTTCATTATGATCTCATAGCCAAACAACTATCAATTGCATATAAAATATAACTTATAACAAATGTTTATTTTATAAAAAGAAAGGTATTATTATGAGAAGATCTATTCTAAACCCATGTTTTGGTTGAGTGAATTTACTTCGAAATATTGTTTGATTATTTATATTAATTTTATTATTAAGATTTTGTTATTACTTTGTGTTCATTTAGTTGAGAATATGCGACTGAGCAAAATACTAATGAAATAGTTTTGATTATTCCAATAATATTAAGAGATAGAGACTTTTAACTTATTATAGCATCAGATCTAACAAAAATAGCTTAATAATGAAAAAAAGTAAAACAACCTACTAATGTTGTAATAAAATATTTTATGTTGCTATAAAAACCATGTTTTCTTTGTTACGAATTCACGGCTAGACATTTATTGTAGAACTATTCAACAACGCTGTTTATTGTTTTATACATATCATTTTTTAGGGTATTTAATATTAAAAATACTATATTTCAGTATTATATCTGTATATTTTATTTATGTTTTATCTGTTTTGTTGTTCTTTAAGCCACCAATTTTGTAATAAAGAAAAAAATATATGTTTAGGTGTATTTGTCATTTGTATTATGTATAAGCGATATGTTGTCGAAAGTTTCCATTCAATTTCCCTTTTCTCCTTTGCATTCATATAATCATGGTCACATCACGATATCCAGTTATTAACATCAAACGAATTGGTTTTGTAATATTCATCATGTTGTTAGCCCTTAGGAGCAGCGACCTGAATCCGTCGTTTATGATATAAAATTTTTACTGAAAGTTTATTTTTATATTTAATTCTATTGCAACATTTAAAATACTTATCTTCTTAAATCGCGCGCGTACTTATACAAACATGAAATGTTAAATAATATCATAACATAACTCTAACAGTATAAATATCAAAAGTTTTCAACGAATTTAAAATTATTGACTGAAACTGTTCATCTCTTGTACATACTTTTGTATCATTTAATTAAAATAACAACAGAAACTTATCAATGTATTGCAATCAAGACGTTTTTTTAATAGTAAAAAACAAGTTGATATTGTTATATATTTTGTAGTTATGTAGGAAAAATTAAAGACATTGGATACTCGTTACATAAATAAGAGAAATAAATAGAGAAGCCTACATATAACATACCGACGTTTTCTGGAATTATATAAATCTCTCGAAAAAATACACCGGTCCCCTAAAGTCTGTCCCTTCTTGTGAATTAATAACTTTCTGTTAATATTTGTTTTATTTTTATCCTAGTGTTACCGTTGTATTTTTTTTTTTTTGTTTTGTGTGTGTCATTTATTTTGTTTTTGTTCTATAATGCCAGGTACGTTTATTTTAATTTTTATTTATTTTGAATTTATTTTAGTTTTCATATTATTGAGTTATAGAATGCTATTTTTATTACATCAGTATTAAATTTGCAGATTGAAAACTTAGAAGATCTTCTAAAAGAAAAGGATAATCAAGTGGATATGGCCAGAGCTCGACTCAACGCAATGCAAGCACATCACTGCTCCTCAGAAGGTGCTCTATCGTCTCTCGAAGAAGTGATAGGAGATAAGGAGAAACAAATTCAACAACTCCGGGAACAAAGAGACCGTGCGGAACATGAAAAGAACGAAGAAAGAGAACTTCACGAAAGAGAGATAGCCGAATACAAAATGAAACTCCATGCCCTTGAAAGCGAAGTCGAGAAACTCGGCGCTAGACTTGAAAGGGCGCAAGCTGAGAAAGATAGACTCGAAGCTAAACTAGAAAGCTCACAAAGTGAGCTAGGGAAATCTAAGGCTGAACTTGATAAAGCTGCTAGCGAAGTCGGTCGATCGGGAGCCGATTGGGAAGCAGCGAAGCAACGCTTAGCGCGGCTCGAATTAGAAAATGAGAGACTCAAACACGAGTTGGAAAGATCACAGACAACATTTGGTAGAAGCACTTTGACTACGTCACAGGAACTTGATCGAGTGCAAGAGAAGGCAGACAAGCAAGCGACTGAGTTAAGACGTACTCAAGCTGAATTGAGAGTTACTCAAGCGGATGCTGAGAGAGCCCATGCTGAAGCTGGTGCTCTTCAGGAGAAATTGGAAAAATCCCAAGGAGAAGTTTACCGTCTTAAGGCGAAGCTTGAAAATGCACAAACCGAGCAAGACAGCCTCAAAGAAGAGTATGATCGGTGAGTATCTAATAACATAGATATTTCTATTTTATACTGAAATAAAAAATTAAAAAATGTTATTGCTTTCGATAAGTATAGTAGTAGATCAGATTGTTTCTGTTTAATTTACCTATACTTAGATTAATATTGTATTGATATTAGATACCTTATCATGTAAGGTTCCTATAGCAACCAGCAAAGGCAAAGCGATGGATAGGTGATAATTAAAAATGTAAAAAACCTAAGTATTTCAGCATCACCTAATTTTGTGTTATTAATCAATTTGATTCTATTTTTGTTTTGCAACAGAATCCAATCTTCGATCAGTCGCCTGCATTCGGAGCGAGACAAGGCAATAGCTGAACTAGACAAAGCTAGGGAAGAGTTGGAAAGAACTCAGGCGACACTAGGCAAGGCTCAGCTCCAACAAGACAAACTGCAAGCCTCTCTAGACAACGCTCACTCGGAAATAGATAAGCTGCAAGAGAAGTTAGACAAAGCCGCTGTTGAAAACAGAAAGGTAAGTACTGAAATCGTGCATTCACATTAAATTGGAGTTCTTTCACACGACCTATAAGTACTCGTAAATAGAAAAAAGTTTCTGCTTAAATAGTCTTAATATCAATTTGCTGAAACCGCTATGTTATATCATTATATTATCTATATATGACAAGATTCTATCACTCTTATAAAAAGGTCAATGCTACAAATGATTGCAAACTTTTTCAAATTAAACCTTTTCACTGACTTGTACATTGTACTTAGCTGCAAGTCGACCGCGAAAAGCAAGCTTACGACTTCGAATCGCTGCAGTCACAACTGGACAAAGCACTTGGGCAAGCAGCTCGTCTCCAGAAAGAAAGAGACACAGCGCAGCTCGACACGGAGCGGTTCAGAGACAAACACGACAAAGCACAGGTACAAAACGTAGTTTTATTTTTAATTTTCTGTGCCCCGAAATTATAAAAATCGGCAGTTTTATTCGCCATTATTAAATACTGACACTGACTTAATCAGGTGACTACATATTCCAAAACGCGTTTATCAATCAATTATTTATTGCATAAATATGGTGCGGGTACAGCTGATGTCATAAAATAAGGGTATCACATATTTACTGTATGACAGTGTGCAATAGTTTTGTATGCAAAATATTATTTATTTTAATTTCTAATTAATTTACATTATAACCTATTCATGCATTAACTTTGAATAGGTTATAATGTAAATTAATTTCACTGACCTAAAACATTCCATACAGTTCCTATTACATAATATTTCAGTCTTATAATCTAAAAACATTAAATAGCAATTATTTAAAAGTAAATCAATTTACATGTTACAATAATAATAAGTTAAGTATGCTTAATATATAAATCTATTATATTATCATGTGTATAATTTATTTATGAATAATGGTACCACAATAGCCTACATCGACTTACTTGTTTTGATCCTTGCCTTTACAAAGTCGCCTGTTTACACACTCAAATAATTGACTTCAGCCAAGGTCGTAATTTAATTTACCATGTTATAAACCTCTGTTTTGATATAATATGGTAATTTTAATTAACGCCTTAGCCAAGATAAATGCGATGCTATGCATGAAAGATTTAATAAACACGACGTATATATTCTTAATATTTTTTTATTGATAACCGGGCAGATTTTTCTAGATATGAAATGTAGGCTACGTGTAAAATATATATTTCGTTAGCGTAGCCTAAAGTCAAACGTAGAACGCCTTAGAATTTCAATGAAATAAGACTTTTATTACCTTTTGAAGTAGGTTTTATTTGATTGGATCTTTATGGTGTGATAGAAGAGCTCGAGACTGAATAGTACTACAGTATCTTTATCACGAAAATTATAGACATAAAGTGTCTATTTTTTCTTCTGATATTTGTACAGCGCCACCTTTCGCTGTTAAACGATCTAAGATTTCCAATAAAACAATTCTCAATAATGCTTGATACAAATCTGATTGGCATTTAGTTCTGAGTGATTTATAACGCCACAAGTGCCAGTGTAACCTATATAAATTGAATATGGAGGCGTCTTATGAGGGGTAAATTTGAAAATTTTAAAAGTTTCACAAACTATATAGTGTGATATCTTTACTAATATTATTAAAAAAGGAAATATTTGTTTGCATCGAATAAGCTTTGAATATCGAATCGCTATTTTACGTGGGCAAAATCACGGAAAAATAAGCTAATATCAAATAAATAATTTCATGTTATTCAAGACAATGGGCAGAAAATTTACCATTCTTTCCTCTGATCTCAGGAACTACCTAGTAGGCTCAACAATACAGAAAATTCTTAATAAAAAATGCATAAAATGCTCCAACTCCAGGTACTCTGAGATGGTACCAAGACAATTTTCCAGTATAGCCTTGTGAATGCAAACTTGATAAAATATAATAATTAAAACAACTTTTCATCTTAACCCAAAATTGAAAATATTTTTACGAGTAAAATAGGTCTCTCTCTCTCTCTCTTTTTTATAATTTATAGGACGGGAGAAGACTCTGACCCTAAAATACAGCACAATATTTTGCTAGAGACTCATTTATGTTAAGCATTTTGCGAAACGTGTTATATAATAATTCATCTTCCCCATCACGTTCTGCCATCTTAAATATCAGCTTAGCAACCTAATATAAAATGAAGGCCATATCGTGCGCAGGTGCGGTCTTACATCTTGTTCAGAAGAGGCATGCGCCGCGATTTTCAAGTTTGATACTGAAAATGTTTTGTTTATTTCTAACACTATTCCCTACCAGCGGATATTGTATTTTTGGACCGGGTCTATGCCTGAATTGAAGAGGGTCACCAATAATAACTGTGTCAGTAAATTATACTTTATTGCACAATACTCAATTTTATTCCACACATTATAAACAAATGGAAGTCTACTATTTTTATTGGTTAAAAGTATATCCTAATATTTGAGATGTCTCTAAGGGCTATCTCTGGTTGAATCTTAAGAAGATCCAAATCTCTCAGGGTTGCGTTTAACATATTCGCTCTTTTTATCTCTCTGATTTCACAACACTTAAAAGAAGAGTTGCAAGAGTTTCCAGAAAATATATAAGACTAATTACGGAGAGATCTACGTCACAAACTTTTATTGTAGGAACTACACATATAGTAAATTTACTATGTATGATTATATGCACGGCTACTGAAATTTTTGGAAGCTCTTTTAATTTCGCGATCTTTGGAGGACATATCCCCTGTCATTATTGCTGCCAAAAGCTTGGCAGCAATAATTTGAAGCAAAGCACTATCAACTGGAAATGTCTTTTCATTGTACTATATGTAATTAATTAGAAATACATGATTATTAATGGAGTGCTATTTTCGTTTAAAGCTTGTGTTTATTACACATGCTTTAAACGCTTTCTTATAAAACTCAAAAATTATGTTATCTATACGGACAAAGACGCGGGAGGACAACTAGTAATATTAAAAATATTATCTGTATTTAAATCTCATTTTTTTATTATTATTTATTTATTTAGATACACCTTGCATGCGTGTCGACTTGCATTTTAACTGTTAAACGAAAGCTGTGAATTTTGAACTTTCAAAATTATATTTTTAATTAAAGCTTATCTACTAAACAAAACACAAGTGTCTTCACGACTAAATCATTTTTTAATGTCAAAATCAAATTTAAAAATTTGCGTACATAACAATTTTTGACCTGCATTATTTTACAAGTATATTTGAATAAATTAATCACAAGTAAGTTCAACATCAGAGTGTAATCTAAATTCCTTGGCAACAGCTTCGAATGAAATTGCATAAGTCACGAAACTCCAAGTCTAGACGAAAAGGATATTACCGTGAAAGGGACGACGGTTGTGTGATATAATGTTTGATAATATATTCGAAACCATATTTTCTGCGACAAAAGTAGGTATATATTTGCAATCAAATTTCTATATAAATAGATTTATCGCCTAATATCGTTTTTATTATAAGATCAATAAAATGTCTACTGTAAAAGTCAAGTAGCGATTCGTATTCAAAGCAAAATAATATTCATGACAGTTTACCTACCTAGAATAAAAAGTGTATTCATGCAATAATAGATAATTTTAAAATTGTTTTCAAAATCATAGCTCTGATATTAAATATCAAATTAAATATATAGTTACAGTAAATATAAAAGTAAAGCTCTGACAGTGAAATAAAAACTTAGTTATTTAATATTTTAAACCGACTTAAAAAAAAGGAGGTTCTCAGTTTGACCTGTATGTGTGTATGTTTGGGTGAACCGATTTTGATGCGGTTTTCAGAAAAGTATTTTAAGTGTTACCTATTTTATGAAAAATATCAATGACTAAAAAAAAGCATGGCCGTCTTGAAACTTAAAAAGGTGTAGTCTATATAAAATATATTTGAAGTCGGTTCAATATAAAACAAAAAATATATATAAATAGTTAGTATTTTATGATTTTAACTGACCAGCCTACTGCGTTATTTTTCAGTAAACTATTGGACACAATTATTATGACGAGGAAAGTGGTTTATATAGAAATGGAACATTAGAAAATCACTCAAAAGTACATACATACCAAAATCTTTTCTCTATGGACGTTGTTACTAACAGAGCAATCATTGTTTGCCTACTACTCGTATTGATATTTGCTATTGAACCTCAGAATATTAAAGACAAAACCACATTTGACTGCTGCTTTTAAATGGGTAAACGAGAAGCTTCACGGAAGCTTGCCAAATTCCATGTCGCATGATTTATGTAAGACCAAGGTACCTTATGCCTGTCAATAATATGTTATAGTACAAATTTCTTATTGTAATGAAAAAATCTGTAAATATATTAAGCTGTGGAGTTCAACTAATATTTAATTCACTGAGAAGTGAACATTAAAAATTACCCAGACTTTATGTACTAAACATGTTGAGATATAGGAGGAATCTTAATAGTAATGTTTACATTTTTTTCCTATAAATTTCTAATAATATCCACTAAATTGACTTCATATTTCGAATTATCAAACACTGACGTCGTTATAAGAACAATCTCTCAATAATGTGCCGTTTCCTAACTCCTACAAGTTACCTTGCATTTATCGCAAACTTACTTGGAATACTTACCTATAACGCATAATAGTTAATTAATTTGAATTATTTTAGATTTCCTTTAAAAATATTGCACGATAGAAGCAGCACAAAATTTCACCTATTAGTGATTCTAATCATAAAAAAATCTTTGAACTCTGATATGTATAAAATAAGTAAAAAAGCATTAAAATAGATGACAATTTTATTGCTTTTCGTCATTGTTTTATCATCATGATATAAGGTTACGGTTAAATACCATATAGCCCGCGGCGGCACAAAAAAGACAAGTCTCTTAAATACACACAGGAAGCTACTTCAGAGGGCAGTATTAAGGAAAATGAAGATAATATTTAAAAGTATGAAGGTAAAATTGTAGTATTACAGTATATGCATGCGGCCTCTTTCTCCCTTGGAAGGGACTGCATGTCAATAGAATATGTTTACATATCTCATATTTGATAAGTAGGTCCTTATTACCCCCAAATGGGATTTGTAAGTTACCAATAAGCGCTCTAGGGTAATAATATAATAATAATAATGATTTATTGAAAGGCATAAAAAACCCAATAATGTAGCTAGAAAATCCCTAGGGTGGTAAGTAATAAAAAAGATACGTCACTCTTTCAAAAAGTTCGCGTACATCTAACCATTTTTTTATTAATAGTTTTACGGCTTTGGAAGTAGCTATACAGCAACATCCAACCTTTATAGTGGCTATAGACATCATGCATTTAGCCCAATGACCTCTTCGCTGTTCAGCCTTGTCTTCTTATGAATATAATAGTCATCAATTTTAAATATCGAACGGCGAAGCTCAATTTTGTTCTTGAAAAAAAAGTAAAATTACCAACCAAATGACCCAGCTTTCAAAGAGATGATCCGCAACTATAAACTTCTGCTGAAGAAAGCTTCTTCCCGTCAGATTTTGTCCATGACCAAAAAACACCCATCCTTTAAATTTGAAAATCTCTTTTCACTATCAATTTTAACTAATAAAATGTTTTACTTTTGTAATGCCGGTTTTTTTTCTATTTATCTCACAATCGAGATGTAAAGCAGAGTAGTTAGCTCGGGTGTAGGCCTATAATTCAAGGGTACAGCCATTGGCTAATCTACTATTATTTTTCTGAATTCTACTTTTTAATCGTATTTTATTATAATAAAATTAAACTTAATTCGAAAAACTGCAACAATCAAAACTCTTGATTACATATATAAATAATAAAAGAATATATACATCGATATAATCAATACAAGGTTTTTATAGCTATTATTACTTAGGTTACGAATATATACAGCGAGAGAGTTAGGTGGTCGGGCTGCACAAAATATACTCAACGATTTGTGATAATTTTCTCTTTCTAGGCCCTTGTTGCGCGTATCCAGAAAGAGCGAGATGCAGCGCTGGCTGAAGCTGCAAGTTGTCGAGAGAGGGCAGAAGCAGCCGCGGCAGCAGCTAACAGAGCCGCCAGAGACCGAGATAGCGCTGCAACTGAGTTGGATGTATTACGAGAAAGGTGGGAGAAAGCGCATCAGCAGCATCAGAAACTCACGGTAAGAATGAATCAATATTGAAGATATAAAATATTTTTAATAAATTTTTCATAACCAATTGTATTATTGTTACCGATTGTATTCCATTATTAGACTGGATCAAATGTAGAAACACAAAGTAACTAGACTTTTCGTAATTTCTAATTATGACTAAAAATGAACTTATGTTAATTTTCTACCCATGGGTATAATATATATTTTTTATATCACCAGAAGTAACAGTTGCCAAAATAATATATTTTAAGTAATTACTTAAAATAATAATATTTCAGATGGAAAGAGACGACGCCTTGACGGAGGTTGAAATATTGAAAGAAAAACTAGACAAAGCACTCTATTCTACGCAAAAGACCATAGAAGAGAAAGAGACTGCGCACAAAGAATACGAGAAAATGCTTGAAAAGTATGATAGGTACATTTATTTCTGGATGTCGTCTTGTGTTGGTGGCGATGTCGTTGTTGTCGTGTAGTAGCAAAAACTTGTTTTGTTTATCTCAAACACTAAGTTAGATTTTGTTTTCAGGTCCCAGAATGAAATCTATAGACTGCAAAACAAGATCGACATTTTAGAAGCCGATAAAGACCGTCTCGAACTAGAGCTGGAGAAACAAGTGCATCTGTCAACGAAGTCAAGGGAAGATCACAGAAAACTGCAAGACGAGTTGGCTCGGTTACAGGAAATGTATGACAGAGCATCTTTACAACTAGGCAGGACTAAAGAACAAGAGGAAAAAGCTAAAGAAGATATGGACAGATTACACGTAGACATAGAAATGGTACGAGAAAGATATGAGAAGAGTCAAATAGAACTAAGGAGACTCCAAGCTGAAAAAGAAAAACTCATTGCCGACAATGAAAGATTGCAATTTGAGTATGATAGGGCGATGACACAGTGTGGTAAAGCACAAGCGTCTAATGAAAAGACGCAAGAAGAAATGGCCAGAGTGCAAATTGAGTTGGAAAAAATGTACGATAAGCACGATAAAGTGGCTTCAGAACTAAGAAGGGTTCAATCCGAATTAGACAAAGTTAAGCAAGATGCGAGTGGTGCTAGGGAAGAAGCTGAAAGATATGCTGCTCGTTACGGAAAATATCACGATACAAAAGAAGAACATGAGAGAACGAAGTTGGAGGTGGAAAGACTTCGCACACGGTTAGAGAAGACCACATTAGACTTGGAGCGAGCGCGGAAGGCTGAGGAGGAAGTACTCCGTCTACGTTCGGAGCTGGAACGCATCGAAGGTCTCCGAGGTAAATACCAATTCGAACAGGATAAGTGGACCAATGAACTTAACCGAATGCAAGCTGAGCTTGACAAACAACGAGAACGCTACGAAGCGTCGCAAGTGGAAATTCAACGTCTGCAAGTTGAAAAGGAACAGGCTGAGACAAAATTGCATGAACTGAATATTCAGTTAGAATTATCAAGGAGCGAAGTAACCAAACTGAGTGCAGCGTTGGAGAAGCAGCGTACTGATCTTGAACGTGCTCATATTGAGTGCGAGAAGTTCAGAGATAGGTGTGAAAAACTAAAATTACGTTCAGAACAACTAGATAAAGATAACGAAAGACTCAAAGGAGAATTGCAACAGATTGAGAGGATGAAACTTCAAGCGGTTGCTGGTGACAAAGCGCGTACTGAAGATAGACTTGAAATCGAACGACTACGTGATAAACTCGAAAAAGCGATCCAAGCGAGAGATTCAACAGAAATGGAGGCGGGTAGATTGGCTAAAGAACTTGAAAAATCACAGATTCATCTAGTCAAATATCAAGAGACTAATGAAACAACTCGAGTGGAATACGATAGAATGACCAACGAATTGGGAAGAATGCATGAGCGCCTTGAACGAACTATCCTGGAGATGCGTCAAATTGAACAAGAGAGAGATGCCTTGAGAGCAGAGATACAGAATACGAGACGAAATGTAGAACAGCAACAAAGAACATTAGACCATCGAACGCAAGAAACGTTAGTGAAACTTCAACAAGAACTAGCTCAATCGGTGAGAGATAGGGAAAAAATGGCGTCCATATTGGAACAGCGGGACAAACAAGCAGATGCTATAGAAAAGCAAATAGTTAAATTGGAAGCGGATACGAAACAGCTGACCATCGAACGCGATCAGCTCGTAGCTCAATTAGAAAAGTCTCAGGACATGCTCGTAAACTTCCAGCGGGAGTTGAATGCTTCAGAGGCCGAGTTGCAGAAGCAACGCGAAGAAGTGCGTAGACTAAAGGAAGAACAGAGAAAGTTGGCACAGGATTCAGAACGGGGCGCGAAAGCCATCCTCGAAAATCGTGAGCGCGAAATTGTGAAATTGCAACAGCAAGTGCAGGCAGTTACAAAAGAAAGAGAGACTATAAGACAGCGTGCGGAAAAAGCTGAAAAGGAAGCGCAGAAAGCGGGCGAGTTGGACAAGTGGCGGGCCGCGGTCGAAGCGGAAAAAACAAAAGCTATTGCAGCGGAAAAAGCGCTATCTGAGTGCCAGCAACGGTTACAGTCATTGGAAAAACAATTCCAGGCGCAACATCAGCAACTGCAGCAGATGCAAGCACGCGGCCCATCGGACGTGCGCGAGGTGCAAAAGCAGCTTGAAGCGGCGCAAGCAGAATCGCGCTCGCTCGCTGTCGAACGAGAACGGTGCCAGGCACAACTCGAGATGCTCGTTCAAGAGTTGGAGAAGAGCCAGGTCAGTTGGAGGATAGCCTTACGTCGAGCGGCTGTCGGGACGGCAATGCGCGGTTGAATCGAGTTTCATTAAAAATTTAAATACCAAATAATAGTAAATTGTTGATTTTAGCGTGTTTAAGAAAACAAAACCCATATTCTATCTGAGTCTAACATTTCAATTAAGATTTGGGCCAGACAATCATATTATTATTATTATTAACATTCTAAAAGTCGGTTAGTACATACTATATCTTAAATATATAGAGAGTACAAAGGTAGACATTTTTGTATTAAATAAATGAAATTATAAAGCAAAAAACAAACAATGCCATATCATGATTTCTACTATATTAGAAAAGAAATAAAAAATACTGATACTTGTTAAAATTTGGTAAAAACAAACAATGATCTACAAAATATTTATGAAAATTGAAAAAATAAAGAAGCCTTAGCCTAGGTTGGGCAGATTATCTTCTTAATCGAGCTTCTTAAGTGATGTGATCATGTGATAAATATGTAGAATGTGAATTTTAAAATAAATTAGTGTAATAATTGTTGGTTATGAACAAACATTTGAACGCATTGTTGTTAAATTATTGGGCTCTAATCGAAAATTTCACTAACTCGATTGAACCGCTTCATCATTGCACCGATGTAAAGAGTAGATATGTTTTAATTTGAATGTTCGTTGTATTTGGTTTTTGTTTGACAATCATCATAGCGCGTCATTTATGTTGTGTATAGTAGCATGCCACCCACAGCCCGCGGGCATCCTCCAACCCCTCATTCGTATTTATTATTTTATTAGTTTCATCAATGTTTATGACGTCATGAGAATGGTTGTTGTTATCGAGTATAAGCAAAACATTGCACCTTACATGCAGATCTCTGAACGCACTGTTAGTTTCAATAATTACTAAGATGTTGGGTGCAAAATTACAAGCTTCATTTTGTGTCAAGTTCGTATTGTTAATTTTTTTACTTGTCTTTTTCAGCCACATTCGCTACTGTATTGTGTATTTGCGTCACTCATCGTTATGTGAATTATATATGTAAAAAAAGAAACTCATTTTTCTCATCCAATAATTTGGCATCGTTAAAAAGTTTATATTTTGCAGTGTTATCTGTACAAAGTTTGCTTTTTGGATATCTGTTTTCGAATTTCTCAGCTTAAACGAGCTTCCGTATAGTGGATTCGATCTTGGCTATTTTTAATATTGCGTACTAATAAATATATTTTAATTCTTTGTCTCACGGACAATTTTCGATTGCAGCTCGATCTCCACGAAGCGAACAAGAAGTTACAGGCAGCTGGCACACAGAACGCAAGAGCTGGGGAAGATACAGCCCAAGCTAAGAAGCAGCTGCAAGAAGAATTTAAGAAGCTTGAAGACGCGAGGAAACAATTTGAAGAACAGAGAAGAACATTTGAGAATAAAAGGAAAGACGTGGAAGAGAAAGAAAAGTCGCTTGCGGAGTTAGATCGACAGTTGAAGAAGAGAAAAGAACAAATGGACCAAATGGAAGCATCTTTGAGGAAGGTTGGCACGATATTAAATCAAAACATTGTTGCGTAGTGTAGTACTTATTCGTTTAATTTGAATTCTTGTAATCAAACATTGACATAAGCCTTCGATGTGGAGACTAATAAATAGTACAACATTGTAGGAGCGATACAGATCTAATTAGGGTTCCGTGGTAAATATTTTTAGTGCAAATATGTTTGTTTAATAATAGTAATCTGCTTATTACAAAAGCAATGAAAATAAAATTGAAAGGAATGAAAGTTTTCTACATAACTATTGATTCTTTTCAGGCCGGCGGAAGCACAGCAGCGGTAACAGATTTGAACCGTAAGCTAACTGATACACAGAAGGACGCCGAGCAACTGAAACAACAGCTGGAACAATCGAAAGAAGAAGCGAAGAGACTCACGACAGAAACGGAAAGACTGCTGCAGCTGGTTCAGATGTCGCAAGAAGAACAGGCGCAGAAGGAGAAACAGATTATGGACTTGCAACAGTAAGTACTGTTATATAAATAGAAATTACTGTTACACGAGAAAGAAGAGCTGGCATACCTAAATTTTTGTTATTATGAATTATGACAGTTCGCTCAGACTTTACCAAGCTTTTTTATGAGTTTAAATGGCAACAGAAACTCAATTAGCATCTATTCTGTAAGTACTCTTCTTCTTCTTTTAAGACACCAATTCAGCGCTCCTCAAACTTCTGTACAGCTGTATACCTACCTACGCTATTACCATTCCCTATTTTCGAAGCTAAGCCTATTACTTCCAACTCCGCCTAAAATTCGAATCTATAACCACGCAAATTATTTTTTTAAATGGCAAAGCAGCTATAATCGCAAGGCGAAAGATCGGGTGAATAGGGGGGATGTGCCCACTTCCTTATATCCATCAATACGATAAACTTGATTTTATATCGACATATCTAAATAACTCTGAAAGTTCTTTTTTACCTATGAAATATTAGAACACGTTGCATTTAGCTCAGTAGTTAACCCTTCAACTGTTGTGACACTTTCTATAGAAAATAAAATTCAAAGTCAAGTTTGAATCGATCTATTACTCGGAAAACGAAACCATCTGAAGTCACGCACTGTATCGGAAAGTTGAATTGAATGATTCAGAGATCGCATCAGATTTATGTTATATATCAAAGGGTCTCTTATTTTAAATTGGGTTTGTATTATTAGCATCACTTAGATAAATACATAGCTGTTGTTGTTTTTAGTGACCCAGATAGTATGCTAACTTGGGGCAAGTTTAATTTTTCTCTGATTCTAAATTGCCGCGTCAAATATATGAGGCAAGTTTGTGACAATGTCGCTATAATATTGTTATGTTAAATATGAAGTTTCAAGTTTGCGACAATATTGTTTGAATATTGTTATGACAAAGATAATTATTTGTAACACACCCATCATCTTCATAGGTGTCCGAATAGTTCTAAGTCTACAAACTAAATGGCGCTGTTCATTTAATGCATCGCGATGTCAGTTTATATTGCTAAATTGTTTAAGTAATATGCTGTTTAATGTGATCTTAATACGGAATTTGAAACTAACCGTTCCAGTTAATTACTTTGGCTCTTAGACTAGGCTCTATGCAGTAGTCCGAGTTTGAAGTCGCAGTCGCTTTTGGTACCCGAGTACCCGCTAAGTATTCGAGTCAGTACCAAGGAAAATTATTATTACTACTACGGCAGTAGTAATAATAATTTTTCTAGGAACGTTTGACGTATCAAATATAGTGCAAGTTTGTCACACTAAAACTAGAAAGTTTGATTAAAACTTGCTGCAGTTGTCATGGCAAACTTGAAACAAGTCTTCTTTTTTGATGTATCAAACTTGTTGCAAGCCAGAAACAAGTTTAAATTGCTGTCTGGGTGAGAAACTAAGATGTATATACTTGTATATATCGATGTTTTTAGTGAGAAACTAAGATAAAAGTTTATATTTTTAATGACTCAGAAACTGCTGCAACTACCTAACAGTTACCTGAGTATGTACACAAAGTAGCACGTATACGAGAATATGTAAATTTCCTACAATCGATTTTGAACGTAATTATTAAGACGTTAAGGTCTGAAATGAAATTTTTGTGTGCTTGAGTGAACATTATTTTGTTGTAAGTCTCGCTGGCATACTTAGAACGTATAAATTATTCCTAAAGACTCATTTTCAAATCTAAGCTCACTTATTTATTATAAGGAATTTATATAACATCTAACATTTTTCAGATCTGTGAGGAACCTTCAAGCCAAACTGAAAAGTCAGCAACAAGCACAAGCACAAAGAGAAGAGGTGATTATTTTTATTATTATAGTACTATAAAGAGATATAGTGAGTCTTGAGAGAGAATCTTGTTTAATGAATCCCTTAAGTTTTCATAAACTAATATAGTCATCATTGTGTTTAATATTTACTTAAGAATATAATTACTAACGTAATAAAACATTTAACAACATATTAATTGTTACTATTATATCCTTGCAAATGGTAATAGGTAAATTAGAGGAAAAAAAGACTTCTTGATCACGAAGGATTTATAAAAATATTTATTTCTTAGAACCTTGTTATGCCTTATTACATTTGATAATTTTTTCATTTACTATGGTTTATTCATAATTATAAAAAAAAAATATTTAAAAATTGGACAGTCTCTTCCGAGTGCCCGAACATTTTTTAAGTATTTTCTATTCTTACATACATAGTCTCAAATGCGATGTAAACATATTGATATGAGATTTTGCTATGTTTCTTTAAAGAATAACATTATAACGTTGAAAGTCATACTTAATCCCGTATATCGTTTCGACAACTGTAATTACATCGTATTGTAATGATAATGCTGCAGTTATATTTAGCCCGCTTCGCCTCGGTCCTCAGGGTAGGTTTTATTGAATTATTGTGGGAGTTTTATTAGCCTTATCTTGCGTGCCAAGTATGTATGAAAACTGATATCTACCCGCCCGTGGCGCCACTCGGTGCGTGCTATATATAACTACAGATTTTATTACACTGGTCGATAGGGTTAGCATGCGGAGTGCGGGCTACCTATGCTGTGACATTGGTCAGTAAAACAATGATCCAGCAATGAAAGTGAAAAACAGAAATCGCCCGCACACCCCACGCAAATGTCATCCACCGGTGTAAATACGCTATACAGCTTGTCCTACTTATGTAAATTAATAATACATTACTAACTTTTACTAACTGTTTTGTTTCACGCAGGCTGGACCCGCAGGCTTCCTCAAAAGCTTTTTCTAAGTTTAAATATTCTTCGCACCAAGACTGTCGTTCATTTCGTTTGCCCATTTTTATTAATTATTCATTTGTTTTCTTTAACAACCGATCGAAAAATACTCCGTATAAGCGACAATTCCTTATTCCATGTCTTTCATATTTATCAATCGTAAATAAATTATAAGATATAAAAAATCGCAATTTCGTATTAAGATAATGTTTTCGGTATTTATATCTATTATATATATATATATATATATATATTGATGAAGTGTTCAGATAATAAAATACATTCATCTTTTTTACATACCAACGATATTGTATCAGGTTTGTTCTATTCGATCATTGTAACCAACACACAAGTAACTTAATTATAATATTAGTTTTAGCGATAAACTTTAAGTGATGTTTAAAGAAGAAGAAAAAAGGTTAATAATCGTGTTCAGCGGGAATAATTTTTTAAGTATTGATATATAAAACTTAATAAAAAAAAAAGTGTAAAACTGTTAAGTATTCATGTATTTAGATGAAGTAAGCTGTCCACTAATTAGTCAATGTTACCCAGCTTTTGATCTTGTTATGCGAAATAACTGATTTGAATATTGAATCAATAAAATAACAATTACAATTATACGTTGATCTTTATCGAGTTATTTTTTATTTTTAAAAATAATAACATTGTTGAGTTTTGTTGTTGTATGTAAGTAAAAAATATTTGTTTTGTTTGAGGTTGATTTATTTATTTTCATTTTTATTTTTTGTTGACGTTACCCTCTATTAGGAGCTGAACAGAGCGAGGCAGAGTGAGGTTGTGGCAATAAACGATTTGACACAAACGCTGAGAGAGAAAGACATTTTAAAAGCAAAGTTAGAGGAGAGCAAAATGAAAGTGATAGATCTAGAAATAGAGTTGAACGAATCATCGCTCATACTGTCTGAACTGTTAAAGATATCGAAAGGGCAGGAGTTGAAAAGCATGCAGAGAAGCAAGAGCTTCTTTGAACTGCAGAAAAGTGGTAAGGTAGCAGAGAGGCTTGATAAATGCCGTCACAGTAGAAGTTACAATGAATTGGACGTAATGAGTATAGATAAACAACCAAATGTTCAAAAATTGACTAGGAAAATAAGTGACTTAACCAAAGAAGTAGCTGTGAAGAACTCTAAAATCATCGAACAACAGCGTTGCATATCTATACTAGAAGACGCGCTTAGAGAAAATAATAATATAGCTGAATTTGAGCAATTATTGGCTGTAGTTAGAAGCAAAGATGAGAGAATCAACGAATTAGAACAAATCGTCAATAAAAAATCTGGAGCCAGTGAAGGTGATTACAAAACTAAACGAATAATGGAGTTAGAGAATGCTTTAAAGGAATCGTTTATGATAGCAGCTGAAAGGGAGAAAGTGTTTTATGAAGAAGAACAAAGGCGAATCGAAACTCTGCATAAGGTAATATTGTATTTATGTTTTATATAATATTGTAAAATTAAGATAAGTATTTATGACAAAAATCCACACCGCATAAGAAAGTGTATTTGCACAAGGTTTAGTTGCTAGACTTGTGCAATTTCTGTAGAGGCGTTCACTTTTTATTTATCAGTGGCGAAAAAAAGCGGTGACAAAGCGGGCAAAATGCTAAAGATTTCCAGTCAAAAGGGACCTTTGGTTCGAAGGGCTGTGGGAGTACGATGATACTAACAATTATTTATTAAAATATGTCACAAGTCTCAAACGGTATAGTTAACTCACTGGATTTATAAAAAAGTAACTATAAAAATGTTTATACTCCTTTTTATTAACACAAGTTTGGCAAGTTGGCAGTAAACCATTGTTAGGCATTTGTCATTTCACTTGATCTGTGAGAAGTATTCTTACAACGCGAAAATATTTAGCCAAGTGAAACTTGTTAAAATTATTTTTGATTTTATTGTAGATGCGCAAGATGGAGCAGCGAATCAAGTCACTACAGAACGCTTCAGCACTAAGTTGTGAAACATGTTCACCGCTAATGAAACGGCTGAAGCGTCTGGAGGGTGATCTGCTCACCTGCCAGGCAAAAAGGGACGGAGTACTGCATACATTGGCGCATGTTGTGTATGTAAACTTTTTAGGTCTTATAAAATCTTTAGAAGCTTTATCACGTTCCAGTGTGTGTGCTACTTTGGGTCATTCTTACAACTAATTCATATCTTTCTCACTCATTTTTCAATCGTCAATATCACTTCAATCACTAGATTTTTGGTGAGATCAGGAATCATAAAATCATATCGTTAGAATAAAAACCTATGTATAGGGGTTAAAGTAACATTTTTACTCTTTCGTGGCAAGTGCTTTTAAATAACATGCTATATTTATATTAGCTTCTTAAATTTCGAACTGCCTTTCAGTCAAAATATCCTGGAAGAGCTGATCACCGACAAAGATAGCAATATAGCCGAATTGGAGATGAAAGGTGTACTGGACGAGGCAGACACAGCAAGATGCGACGCGCTCAAAGCCGAGCGAGATAGACTGCTCAATAGACTTAAGATTGAAGCAAGTATTTTTTCTATTATCTTAATAATAATTGATTTCAATTTATTATTCCACAATCCCGTACTGTATGTGTACTATAGAGCTGCTAATATTTGGAAATCGAAGCAATATACAAGATTATTTACGTAATACGAGATCGTGATACATCTAAGTTCGACGAAGTTGTTACTATTCGAAAAAAATCAATCATTCTACACACTATGATGTATTCTCGGTCGTAAATAAATTGTTTTCGTTTTATTGGTAGAGTGCACCAAACCCTTTTGCCATGTCAACTTCAGTGAGTTATATTTGTATTAAAAATATTGCATGCTTAAACTTTAAACGAAATTTTGTTTTATTAGTTCATTTTTTATACGTCATTTGTGCACCTAACGCACAAATGTCCATTATGGTTTCATGACGACTTTAAGCTCTAATGTATGTTGTAAATTTGAAAAATCGTATGGGTAATGTGGCATTAAACTAATCAAAATTTTAATGAACGTTTGTGCAACTGGCTGTTAGTATGAAAACGGTGTGACATTGGCTTTTCTAGAATGAACGTATAGTGGAGATCGAGCGTGGCGTGTACCAGGAGCCCATAGGTGAGGAGGAAGTTAGTGCCCCTGAGCTCACGCTTGCCGACGCGCTACTGCCCGCCTGCGACGACAATGTAATTGTCTGGGTATTGTACTACAAACTTCTAGGAATGTGCGTGAGCTCTGCGCTTCGCAAAGATCCAGTTTATAGCGGAGACAATAATGGAAAACCGAAAACAGAGACGGCATCTTATTGCTGTTTCGCCTTGATCTCGAGTAGAAATCTTGTCACGATATTTCATCTCGAGTTTTCTCTTGGTAATACAGAATGAATATAAAGTCAAAGAATCATTTCGCTTTGTTTGTGTCTGTCTTCGGTTTATATCACTGCCAGAACACGCACGCAATGCAAGCGGAAACATGTACAAAATTAAGCTTCCGGGTTGGTTGACATAAATTAACCACTGGCATCCATCTCAAAACAAAACTTAAAACAGCTAGAATAAATTATAATTTAACATCACACGGTGTGTACAATCAGGATTTGAGTTCTTAATCTGACGTGATAGCGTAAATCGCGGTAACTATCATTTAAAAGAATGTGCTCAAAGTTTAATGACAATAATTACTATCTTTTTATTAGACAATGGTCTTCATACAACTTTAGGAACCAGTTTTATCACGAATCAATTTTTAATCACACCATGAGGAATGAAACATCATAAACAACATAAAAAATTACCTACCAGGGGTTAATAAGACGTCAGGAGCATTGTAATTATGATAACGCAATTAATTTATTAGCTACCTAGTATATTTACAAAATTGCACTTGGGACTTCGTAAAGCTGTGCTTAGTAAGTACGATTGAAACCAAATTATTACGCACTGTTCAAAGTTTGAACAATATAGATTTTGATTTTGCCAATATTATATTTAGTTTTAATATGAGTATTATTAGACATTGAATTCATCTTTTTTGGTACCGATATTTTCTTTGTATTATCTAATTTTCTCGCTTGTTATTATTATTTTTTATTATAGGTACTACTTACTTACTTGTTAATTATATTTTACGGTACCTTTAGCATTGTTACAAATCTTATTTAATCGTTAATTGATACATATCCAGCCTTTTTTGTTATTAAAATATCGACGCTGGAAAGCAAACTCGTAGTAACCCGCAAAACCATACTTGTTCTTCAGAGCAGAAAAACTTTTATTTTTCTCGATTAATAATCTCTATAAATGTCCATGGTAACAAATAAAGTGTTCCCTAATCAATTTATACCGAAATAAGATATTCTTTTTGGAAAAATATAAAAAAGACCACTCTAAATGTCCATTTTGGCTTTGCGGGTTACTACGTGTTTGCTTTCCAGCGTCGATATTTCTTTCAATGGTTCCAAAGTGGTTTATTATTTTTAAAAACTTTTATTTAATTTCCAATACATGTGTATGTTCGTTCGGGTGGAATCTGTGAACTCAATTTCGAAGAAGATATATTTAACCGATTGAGCTGAAATTTTGTATACACGCTTAGTTTGAACAGTGCATGATAAGGTGTGTGGCATTATTCTAAATCCAATATGGCGCACTCTTAAAAATTTTTATGCTTAAAAAACTAAAAAGTAAAATATAAAATTTCCTTTTAAATTTTAACTACCAACTTATAACCTCATTATACAGAATTTAATGATCATAAAACCTTGTCGCGAGATTTAAGTATCTGTCAATATTAAATTATTTAAAATTGTTATAATTTTATTATTTTTTTGCTTTGCATTTGTGATCATCAAATTCTAAAAATTAAATTAATCGCTAATTGATTACCTACAAATAAAAAAATATCGTAATAAAAGTAAACATATTTTGTGACTTAATAAAATAATATATGCTAGAAAAAAAAATAGTTTGTGTACCAGCTCTAATTTAAACACTAAGCGAACACTGTTTAAGTAACTTCCGTAGTAAATAAAATTTTGTCAAATAAACTTAACAGAGTACCTACTAACTCAGTCAGTAATGGATAGAAATATTGTATTTATACATTTTTTTATTTTAAGTTCGTCTTTGTTTAATTTATAAGTAAAACGACAACAGTAGCTGCGTGAAACCGTGAAGCACCTACATTTAAGTGTTGCGCGTATCATTCGAGCAGTGTATTGACACTGCTCGCATACGCTGCACTGCTAGTTCAATAATTAATATTTTTTTTTGTATGAAAGCAAAAAGTGAAACTGTCAAAAGTCGTAAAAGAAAGTAACAAAACAAATAAAAAAACATTTTGTTGACTGTCTAATCCTGTTTAATTGTTTTCATATTACAAATAACCCTGTATATAATAACTACCTATAATGACTGGAATATTACATAATTATATCATTGTAGTAAACTAACTCCTTGTAAAAACTATATCTTTGAGAAAAAAATGCGCATACATAAAATTAGTTGAGCGAATGTAAGAAATGCGAACGACTTAACCCATATAGTGTTCATAATTGCCTCGCCCTTAGCGTAAGGTAGGTTTCATAATAATTATAAGTTAAGAAAGAGCTAAACATTTTGCGTTTAGCTACTTAAAAGTCTAAAAAGCAATAGCAAAAATCCATATACGGCAATTTCACTATTTACCTGTTTGAAATATTGATTTTTCATGGTTTTTATTAAAATTTGTAATATAATCTGATTACAGGAGAACGACATCCCTGCAACAGTACTCTGACGTCACAGCTAAGTCAAAAACTAAATGTATATGTGGCATTAGCATCACGCACTTGTCACCCCATCACCGCTACCTTACCAATCATCGCTTTATCACTCCAACATAATACCGTATACTGCCAAATAAAGCAGAATGAATACATCGCCCTAGCTTGCAATATCGAACGCGTTAGTCACAAAAAAAAAGAAACAAACTCGCCCTTTTAAAAATCGAATCGTGCCATATGACCTAAGATAGTTTTCGTTTTTAATAATGTAAATAAAAACTTCATCTTTAATTTATAAAAAAGACTCTGTTTTTTTAGATACTTTAAGGTCTCAATTTCGCGGAGCTCTAAATGAATATTTTTTTATACACGTGAATCGAAACAGAACCAAAAATAATTATTTATTTAATCTATTTGCACTTGTTAACAAAATGTATACCTATATTAGAGCAATAATTTAATCTAACCTGTATCTAGATAAATCCACGCTCGGTGTCTATTTTCTATCATTAAATTAGTAAATTAAATTTTATTATTACATCAATTGTTTATAGTTAAGTTTCATCTATAAAATAATAGATTTTATTACATTTTAAATAAATAAAATTGTTTGAAACGATCCGGCATTAGGAGCAATTCTATAGAAACTATAGTATTTTTTGCAGGTAAAAGTAGTTTTATTATAAAATTAATTTAGATAAATTATTTACACAAATAAAAAAACAATAGGTAATTAATTGTTCACAGGACATTAGTTCTGTTCGAAATTATAGTAATAAATACTTTGCATAATATAACTTCTTTGCTAGCTGACTCATAATAGGTACTTATAATTTTAAAACTTTGACATATCATGCACAAACTATAAAAAGGCGGCATTCCAAGCTGACAGTCGGCATATCATTACATTATAACTAGGCCTCTTCTATTAAAAATTTCCTTAGGAAATTGTTGTCGGTGTTCAAACTATATTTGTGAGAAAAATTGCTTGTACAATGTCAAAAAAGCACTGCCTTACATACTAAGTAAAAATAAAAAGTGATATAATTTATTTCATTATAAATCAAATGCCTCGTTTGCTTATTCGAGAGACGTCCGCTCTCTTCGACTGATAGTGATGATATGTGTAAATCGTGAGGAGTCATTACCTGTTATGTTTATGGCAGCTATTTTGTAACTACCTACATCTGTAATTTAATATTATTGTGAGCTTTTTACAATATCTATACAACAGTATTGTATTTGTGATAATAAAATAGTCGACGGATCGAAATCCAATTTGTGAAATGATATGCCTATTTTAATCTTTCCCTCTTGTTGTTCCAATAAAAAATGTACATCTAGTTAAGTATGTTAATTCTTAAGCCACGATTTGTATAACCGAATGAGTAAAAGCTTGTCACTATTCTAAGTAACATTGTTTCATTGAATCGCCTTCATGAATTGGATTGTCGCTCGAAAGGAAGTGAAAACATCGAAATTTTAACTTTTGCATAAAAATCATGTTCGACATTTAAAAAAAAAAATATTATCAACGATCTTATACAACTACTTGTTTTCCGTTGTGTATTTTCTTCCTCGGAATTGTCAATCAATCAATAATGTATACTTGTTATTTGTTTAACTCACTGATAATTATATAGTGTTGGCAAAACTTGTGGCTTTTTTATACCCATTCGCTGACTGTAGTTGTGTATTTGTATGGTAGGCGGGATGTATAGAATGCTGCTGTGTGTTTTCGAACTTGAAAAAAAAAATAGTTTCGTTCCATTTTTAAAACTGACATTGTTCTTTTATTTATTTTTTCCTAATCGTAATAAGGTTTGATTACACACTGCAGCCGAGAGCGACCTTCTTCGACTCAAAGTGTGTAGAAATTGTCGATCAAGTCACAATAATTATACTATGGTATTAAAGTAAATGATATTAGTTACTTGTTACATAAATATAATGGTATGAATAAACAGTGGGTCGTATTGTTTCACACGTTGTACCTATCGACCGAAATTATGCTGAAAATATAAAAATACATGTTCTTTGAAAATATAATATCTTCATATACGGAACAATATTGTTTGTTTTATTATACAATTAATTTTAACAACAGATAGAGTGATTCAAGATGAAGGTTTATATACCTAAATAATAAAGTAACAGGTGGATAAAGCCGCTGGCGGAAAGCTACTTTGGTAATATGAATGTACAAATAAACACAGCAACGCTTCTCTAATAAAAAAAACATTCTATTTCGTCAACGAGCGTAGCTCCTCATAGCATAAAGCTACAATCGACTTCAAAAGGTAAAGGTTTTATTTAATTAAAGCTTTATGATGTCACAGCGTTGCCTTCCACGACGAGTTCAAATCAAAATAGCAAATAAGTATATAATAGACGCTAATCTAGCAAAAATACACTGAGTTATAATATTAAGGTTTCAAACGAATTAATTATCTAGTCGCCTAAGATTGGCATGGGTCCGAAGCTACTTACGCATTATTAGCAATGAAGAAGCTGACGTCACATTAGGTCATGCTGCCGTGATCTAATAACCAAGTCAAACCCAAACTCTATAAGATAAACTCAAAGAATCGAATCAAGGACTCACTTGTTCACTACAGGTAGTCAATGGATGTTTTAATCGGTCCTCGACTCAACGAATCACTGATTATTATATTTTGATTAAGTTTGCATTCACAATGCCATACTGAAAATTATTCTTAATACAAAATGCTTAAAAAATCCACTCGGTCCCTGGCACCCTGAGATGGGATTCGAACAAACGATCTTTCGCAATCCGGGCGAATGCTCTAACCGCTGAGCTACCCAAGGCCTAACAGGATTGATGAATCTTTCAATGTTACTTTTCGCTACTACAGAGAATATTATGAATTATTAATGTTCAGGCATTCATAATAGGGATGGCTAAAAAAATGCATTAGATACGTATTTTTTTTTACTTCAATTTAACAAGAAATAAGCTAAGATAACAGGCATTAAAGTTGAGGAGTGGGGGCTCGCTACGTCACAGTTGAGTAGAAAACGTACCCTAACGTGACGTCATGCGAAATTACAACTCAATGTAACGCCGTAATTTTATGATTACGAAAAAAATAAAAAAAAACGTGTTTAATATTTTTTAACACTCTGCCTGACGGACAAACAAACAAAAATTAGTCATCATCCCTATTATGATTCCTTATTATTCATTCGTCGTTACAAGAGTGCATAGGTACATGTCAAAGTAGTAAAATGAAACAAAATATAGCATCTTTTAAATGGTGCTTGATTTTAAGGTTACTTCATTTAAGGAAGTGATACCTAAATAAATAAATATAGACTATAATCATATACTTTTTCTGTTTTGTGTCTCATCATACATTGCTAACTTTCTATCATTCAAGCCATAGGACAAGGGATTTTATAGATATTCTGACGATATTTCCTTTCATTAAACTACTGACTTTGACATCCTTATTTAATAACGACGAAGGAACGTTATATAATGATGATTATGGATTTGAAAGCTGTTTTACCAACTTAATCATGTCGTATACTATGGTTACAGTTAGGCGGCAAGATGAAAGCTAATACGAATTATTATTGAGTAAGAGACACAACGAAGGTAGCACAACACCAAAGCCAAAACAATAATCAAAAATAGCTCATATTTTACATTCTCGATCGGGATCGAACTCGGGTCCTTAGAAACGGTGACATCTTATAACTCGTAAAAAGATTACAATCATATTATGTATTTGTAAAAATTTTTGGTGAAGTTCAATAAATTATAACGTCTAACGAGCTTTTATTTGGGTTTTACCAAAAAATCGAATAATATCCTTCTTTTAAATTATGTAGTTAATTTTTCTTTAACTGGCATCTAGCGTTGAGTAGCGAAATTATAACAACACACATCAAAGCGTGCCTGCTGGCTCATGGCTAAGTGCTTGCTTTTTCTACTTTCATTTGTACTACTAGACACTAGATGTCGCTACGGTCACAATGTTCCTAGCGGCGATAGCTGTCAAATATAAAGCATTAATTTAAGAAAACTTAAAAAGGGTATTATTTATTACTCTACTACCGAACTTCAAAATAACCAAAACAGCGTGAATTAGAATTAATAGAAATAAACCATTATCGCAATTAAAATAATTAAACATAGCTATTGGATTGGAATGGATAAAAATTTATTAAGGCCCGAGTTATGTTTAATAGGTAATATGAAAATAATATAATTTTATTGAGAACCACAAGGCAATTGTTTCATTATCCTGCGAAGTTCCCAGAATAGTAAAAATCAAACAATAACAATTAACAAATTCAAGAAACTTCTTCTGGAGGCTACTAAAAAAGATTACTACACTGACTCAGTATTTACATAAAATATTAAATAGATAGGACTACACTATCCAACTTCTAATTATAAAACAAATCTTGGAGTCTAACAGATTTTTTTTTGACGATTTAAGTTAATGTGATTTAAAATCTTTAATAATTAACACCGACTTCAAGGAACTTTATAAAAATATATACACATAATTATACACTTACAATATTAAGAACCATTTTATATCTGATAAAAAGCTTACTTAGGTAGGTAAGTACTATTTTATCATTAAAGAGCTACATAGGTATTTCCGACTAATTATAGTTGTGTCACAATGTATGTCGTATAATACACTGCAGTCTTTGTTTATATCGTTCACTGTAATGCAGGGTTAGGTGACACAGTTCCGGTCCCCCACTCCCCTTATATACCCCTCCGCAGTCCCGTGGTTACTGGCCGGCGCGAGCGCACCACCTGTTTCCGGCTCAACATTTCCGCCGAGTGGCAGTAAAGGCCAATCCCCATAGCTTTAGTAAGTACCATCAAAACCAAAAACATTTTCATATTTAAAGAAATATAAAAAAACACATAATTCTCTACAAACTCTATAACCTTTTCAAAAGCTGCTTTTCATATAGAAGACAGTTGGATTATTTTTCCGTTGAAATAAAATTATACGTTTCCATTTGTCCAGTAAAAAAATAGGCATAAAACATACTATTAGAAAAATATCGAGTTCATTCATTAATTGCACTTTGAGTTCTACGTTCACGAATTTTATCATTTAAAACCAACATTTTTAAACCAAATCTAACTAATGTAATCAAAAATAAATACCTATGCGAATCAGTCTTATCCAA